AATTAGACCCTTTAAAATTGTGTAGTAGCTAATTGTATGACAGGAATTAATTTTGTTCCTAACTCTTACATCTAAACTTCCACCCTTTCAATAAATAACTTGTATGCAAGAGTGAAATATTCATGGTATTTACTATTTAATTCACAAAACCTTACATCTTTAGGCCAAATGTCATTCAACCAACAGCCATCAAGAGTTATAAAGCAAGACATACCTCTAAGAAGTGTGTGTTGCCTACTTCCAATACAGTACATAGATAGGAACACTAAACAGACAAAAAAGACAAAGAAGCCATTATATGGCTTTTCTAGGGATTATTCTGAAAATACATTTTCTTTTTTCTTCCTTCCCCCCTCCTTATTACACTGTTGTTTGTGTTTTTGTTTTTTTTGTTGGACTGGGGGTTTTTGAAGGTGTCTGACATTTTAGAAACAGAAGTTTCCTACTTGGGATTTCCGTAGGAAAGCAGAGAAAGCACTCAGTATCTGTGCATGCTCCTCAGATCTCCTTCTCCAGTGGGAACTAAAAGCATTTTACTTGGCAATATTTGCCTCCATCAGCTGGAAAGAATTTTGCTTATTTTGCCACATTTGGAAGCCTCCCAGCATAGAATGATACCATTTTCAGAAATACAGGTAATTGGCATCATAGAATGCCAGGTACCTCAGACAGAATGCTTGAATGGTACATAATCAGTGTAACTAAGTTTGCTCAGCAAGAATCTCTTCAGGTAGTCAATTACATAGAAACAAAGGCAACAGTGACAAAATTGATATTGACCTCTAAGCTCCCACAGGCCATTATTCTGTATGACCATGCTTATCTTAAAGAAACCAAAATATAGTTCAAGAACTGGGAACAGCAGTCAATTTCCCCACTTTAAAAAGCAGGCATAATAAATTATTTCAAACTCACTGCATTCCATTTATACTATAAATATATTTAAGAGAAACAAAAGAAAAGAGGAGAAGGTATCAGGAATCAGAATGTGTTTCCTTCAGAGGTGGGAGTAATGATAATACATGTAACCTGAAGAGATTTCCCTTGCCTAGATTAATTCTAGGCAATTAACAGCTGAAGGCTGTTACAGAAGAGATGATGAGTCAGATGCCAGACTTTCCTGCTCAGAGATCTGTGCCATCAGGAACTGGGCTTGTCACTGAAGCATTTTTATTTATTCTGTGCAAAGAAGAATCAGCTTGAAATAGATTCATGGATGACAGCTGTATATTAGATGCATATAAATGGTAAATTAGATCTCTGTGTTCACAAAGTGAGTATTCAAAAAGTAGAACTGGCCTTACCTCTCTCTTGTCTTAACAGATGCAAAGTAATTGAACAACTCCATCCTTCTTTAGTGACAAATAACTGGGACTAACTGAACCAAACAGAATTTGCAGTTTGTAGAATCTAGTGATCTTGGGAAGAGGGTCATGAGCCACATTTCATGAGCCTGGGTCACATTTATTTCCTTTTTCTGCATCCTTTTGCTTCTTCACACAGAAGAGGCAAATTACATGCCTGTGGTTAGCAAGCTATCAAAAAAATACATTAATAGTCTCCTTTCCTCAGCTATCTTCTCAGTAACTCCACTGTAAATTAGAGCTCCATTGGTCTACAGCTGTATGTCTTAAAAGCTTGAGGAAGCATGTTCACTTTGCTTTGACCAAGATCAGTATTTATACGCAGATATGCTGGTTTTGGCTGGGACAGTTAATTTTCTTCACAGTAGCTGGCATGGGGTTGTGTTTTACATTTGTGCTGGAAACACTGTTGATAACACAGAGATAGTTCAGCTGTTGCTGAGCAGAGGTTACACAGAGTCAAGGCTTTTTCTGCTTCTTCTATTGTCACACCAGTGAGGAGGCAGGGGGTGCACAAGGAATTGTGAGGGGACAGCTGACCCCAACTGACCACAGGGATATCCCAGACCATGTGGTGTTCTGCTCAGCATGTAGGGCTGAGGAAAGAAGGAAGAGAATGTTTGGAGGGATGGTGTTTGTCTGCTCCAGTCACTGTACTTACTTGCCAGCTGGGGTTAAACCATGACAGGAAACAGTGTAACCAAGACTACACTTCTCCAGGTGGCCTCGATCCTGAAAGAATAGTCCTGCTCAAACAGTCCTCCATCTGCCAAGATATGCCATACTTTCTAGAAAATTAAAATTTTAGAACTACTTTTTAGACTACTGTTACTGAACAGTATTTTTGGGGGGTGATTTTCTTTTTCAGCATATGGAACAAAGAGCTATTAGATAAGGTTGCAATTTTGTCTTTTACAAAACCCCAAATGGGACAGCAATCTCTTGTAATCATTCTTAATAATAATCATAAAGATCTATAGAATATGCTTTTGCCCTTTATCTTCCATGTTTAGCTTCTTAAAAGTACACCTAAAACTTCCTGTGCACATTAAACTGTCTGCTTTTAAAATCTGCCATTAGCAGACAGAGCACGTTCAGTCTGATGACTTTTATCTGTCTCCCATAATAAAAGGGGCAAGATTAGGATTGAATACATCAGAGTGATTCAGTGGTGGTTTGTTTTTATTAATTTTCACCAACACACTTAAATAGAGGCTGTAATAAGCTCCTGCATTACTAAGACTCTAGGATCTGAAACTAATTTGTTTTTTCACTGAATTTTTTTTCACTGTTTGCATCCAATGGTACAAGTTAGACCTCATTCACAGACATCACAATCTTTTGGCACAATGTCTTAGCAAAGTCATGTAAACATCACTTGCTGTTGGATAATAGTATTTTCCAGCACGCATGCAGATTTCCATTGCTGTTGTACCATTTACTCCACTCTAAACAGGAAGTTACAATAATTTCTATAGAGCATGATTTGTAATTCACTTATGAAGCAATTTTCCAAGTTTAATTAGTGGTTTTCTAAACAGGAAGTTACAATAATTTCTATTTGTAGAAAATTTGATTTGTAATTCACTTATGAAGCAATTTTCCAAGTTTAATTAGTGGTTAAATCCTCTTAATTCTTGTTAAAACACGGGTTCTTTAGATGTCAAGCTAATCTAAATATAATTGTGGTCTTAGACAAGTCTTCTAAGTCTCTTTTAACAGTTTCTCCTCTTTTTAAACTTTAACAGCACAAAAAAAAACCATCTGAGCTTCCCCAGTTTGCCTGTTCTTACTGTACAGTTTTTGCTAGTTTGAAGTTATAACCTTTCAAACTGAGACTGCTCTGACAAATGACAGACTGCTCTGGGGCATAATTTCAGGTTAAGAAAACCTCTGAAAGCTCAAGCTGTGTTTCCAGCACACCCAAATCTTAACATTGAGATAGAAGTAAGCATTTTTAAAATGCCACATTTGACTGACTGGTCCACTTGCCAAAGCCAGCATTAACTTTTTATTTTTTCTATCTTATTCCTGAGTAAGCACAGGCTAAATTTATTACAAGTATAGCACTTGCTGTTGCCTTTGGAGAAATTAAATGTAAATGCCTTTCTATTTCCCTACAGTTTCTGATTTTGAATGAATTATACCCAGACTCCCTAGGAGGAAGAAGAGCCAAATAAAGGCATATCACAGAAAAAAAAAACCCCAAACAGATACAGTTAAAGAACCCTGGATAAAAAGTACACAATAGACAGTTCCATGCCAAATCAATCCTGTTAACAAAGTAAAATCAATCAGCAAAACACAGGAAACTGTCAGGCTTTTGAGACAGGAGAGGAAAAAAGTAAAGAATTTGAGAAGCAAGATGTGAAGTTTAGAAGACCAGCCTAAACACTACAGTGAACCAATTGAACAAATTCTAGAAAGTACTGTCTCACATGGCTACTTGAACATGTGCTATTCATAATATTAAAAAAAAAATGTAAAGTGCACAAATTATAAAATCAAACTATTTTTGAGATTTTACAATCTATGCCCCAAAACATCAAATATCTAGATAAACACATAATAGGTTAAAACTTCAGTCATATTCTTAATTATTGACTCTTAATATAAAGAATTTTAAATTTTGAAATGTAATTTATTTGTTACTACCTCCTTTGTTGGAATCAAGATTTTATATGGTATAATTCAACCTGCTACTGAGTAGAAGAATTTTCAACTCCAATACGTGGATTTAAATTCATGAAAAAAAAGAGATCAGTCAACTGTATATTTGTTCTTTTTCTTATACCACCTATAATTAATAGCAAAGTTAGGAAGATAAGAGACTGAATTACTGTACACTTTATCAATGAACTATTTATACTTATTTTCCCCCATTTCTCCCCCCTTTTCCTTTCTGAAACCAGACAATCAATCAGCACATAAAGGAACTCATTTACATGGAACACTATCACACTTGTCCTTGTGGGGCCACCATTTCATGAACATCCCAGGATGTATGGCTGTTGAAGACTGATGCATATATAGATTTAACAAATAACAGTTCTTATGCAGAGAGCAATCACAGAGAAAAATAGCTAATCAGAACACATTACAACATTAAATTTTCACTTTTTATAAATGGAGTAAAGATGCTATTAAATATATTTACAGTTAGAAAAAAGGATTTAGGATTACTACAAGTCAAAATTATTTAGAAATTATGAAAGTGAAGTTCATTTAAATTATATTATGAACAGACTCAAATGCAGTATTTTGCTTAGAATTTGTCTACTCTGCTGTCAGTATTGTCATATTCTTTTAATCACCAACAGGCAAAAACTTAACTTTGCTTAATGCTAAAACAAGCATCATTGCAATAAAACTCTGGCAACCTAATTGTTCAGTTAAAACCACCACAGCTTTTAAGATCCTAGCTGACTTCTTTAGCACCTGTAGTAGCAATTGCTCTTCAATGTCTTGTTCCATAATGAACACTGAGACTTTCTGCATTATTTTTGATAACCACACTTGTACCACATTTTTGAGATTATTCTCTAGAGACAGTTGAATCATAGTAAAATCCATTCCATCCCTCCTTTCAAACCAAATAGCTACTTAATTCTGGAGATAGCATCCTTTTGTTGGCAATGCTGGGTGGTTTATTCACATAAACTTAAATAAAAATATATTTCCCATTTAGTGAAATACTGGTAATAGATTACTATTTCTTTGCAAGGAATTCTGAAATGTGTTAGAATTCATTAAATTTCAAATTCCATAATCACATTTCATAAACATTCATAAACACATTTCATAAAACTTGCAATGATATTTACAACCCTAAACTGCTTACTTTAAACAGTTTCAGCTCTTTTGTAATCCATTACATCAGTATATCCTGCAAATAGTCCCACCTAAAAATAAAATATAAAAAAATAAAGTAGAGAAGCATGTATTTTTTCTTTTAAAAACTAGTGTAAGTTATTCTGAACACTAGCCCGGCCCCAAAAACATTTAAGAACCTTAAAAAGCATGTTTTACAGATACTAAATTTGGCCAGGTAACAGCAATGAACAGACATCCTATTTTCAGTAAGATAAAGCAGAATACATAATAAACAGGTCAGTAGTTATCCATCTGAAACAGCCTATAATTAACATTTGATGTCTAAAAAGTTTAAACAGCAACACCAAGGAATGAGGTATGTATGTTCTCAGATATCACATCAGACTCTCATTTTATGCAACTAACTGTATTTCACAACTAGCATCTTACAAAATAGAACAGTACCATTGTGCCTGTAGAAGTACTGCATTAAAAACAGAAAAATACATTACTACAAGAAACCACCAAACATCACAATTGTCAGGGGCTACAAAAATCCATTATTTTAAGCCGTTAAGAAGACGTATCATATGTGGGTAATAATTTGGGGCTGGATTCACTACCAAGAAGGTCCATCCAACTTCCACATAGGCTTAAAAATATATTTACTTTGAATGAAAAAGAAAAGGCTCACGGGAGTGTAAGTGCCCTACCTCACTAAAAGGAGCTAAATGGACTTTTGTACTGAACCAGATTATATAATTTAAAATCTATACATGAATTGTATGTATGTATCAAAACACTTATTGGTTGTAAACAAAAATGCAAAATCTGTATTCACAAAAATATTTTATTGGTAATTTTACATAATACCAGATGGTATTGTAAATAGTTCTGCTCTTTATCAGTATATTGCTAAGTGCGTAAATGTTGACAGCTTATGCCATAAAGTAGGATACTGAGTCTTTTTCAAATTATTTATGACATAATATATTCTAACAGGCCAATTCAATATTAAAAAATTGATTCAGGAACAAAAAAAAAAAAAAAAAAAGAATTATTATTTCCTTATTCTTGTGCAACATCTGATATTCCTGTACTGACAGAAGTGACTATGTGACACTAGAAAAATCTGGGGCAAGGAAACAGCACTAAGCAGAAATGAGAACTGCAGATCTGTTCTTTTTAAAGCTTTTCCAAACTTTCATAATTCCAAATAGTTTTTGCCAAATGCATCACCATCTGAGGTTCAGTATTTGTTACACAACACAAAATACCAGTGTACAGCGACAATGCAGTACTTCACCTGAATTGCAAGGTTAACTAATCAATGCTTAGAATGTGTTTTCTATTTTGCTTGTAAACATTGCAATAAGTGTTTTAAGTGTCAAAAAATATTGGTAAAACCATCAACATAATTCAGTAACAGTAATCTAGTAAAATGTGTCAAACATTGGCAAAAATCCATACAAATGTTTTCTTTAATAACATTTTTCCTATTTAACCACACCAAGTACCAGCAGGTGTTTTTAAGAAGATAATTATTATGAAAATTCTGTTGCAGCAATAATTAAGTTGATCTTTGACTTGCATACATATAACTATGTTTCACAATTCTCAAATAATACATATTTAGGCAGCTTGAACTATGTTATAAAAATTTAAATTCAGTACATGCCAATAGTAGAGCTTCCAAGAGTTGTGTTAGAATTCACTAAACTAAAAGTGAAAATGGACATACTGATAACACTGCATAATGAACATTCAAACCACATTTTCATGGCACCATTACACATGTAGATTAAAAAGTTGGTCTGAAGATGCTTAAGCATTTGCAGATAGCATTTAAATTACTATAGAATCACAAAATAAGCTGAGTTGGAAGGGACCGACAAGGATCATTGAGTCCAAATTCTGGCCCTGCACAGAACAGCCCCAAGAGTCACACCATGCACCTGTGAGCATTGTCCAAATACTTCTTGAACTCTGTCAGGCTGGTGCTGTGACCACTTCCCTGGGGAGCCTGTTCCAGTCCCCAGACACCCTCTCGGTGAGAAACCTTTTGTGGTATCTAACCTAAACCTCCCCTGACTGAGCTTCATGCTGTTATTGTTTCTATTACTGCACTTTGTTTCTTTCTTTTTATTAAATTGCATTGTGTTCCAGTCATCATATCAATTATGCATGACTAATCTGTCATGAAAATGTGGTGACAGAACTTACGTATTTGCATGTTTTGAAGAGACTAATGAAACTGGAGGAAATAAACTTTAATGAGATTCCCCATTCAGTGACGATGCTTCTCCTCTGGGTGAGGATGACCTGGACATTCCTCTCTCTGTGTTGTCAGAGCTAGAACCACTCTGACTGTGTTGATCTGCAGAGGCAGCACTGGAAGCAGGTGGTGACTTAGTTTTCTCCTTAAAGTCTGTAATAATGACTGTCAGATCTCCAACGGTAACTTCCAAATGCTGAGCACTACTTCGATCCACATTTTTCAACCTTGGCCTAAATAAAGCAAATAATCATATTAAAAGCACACACACCATCTTATTATTTTGTCTCCCTTCTACTTTTTAAGAGTCAGAAGAACAAATGTGTATAGAAAACTTCTTTTTGTAACATGTAATAGGTAGGAGAACAAAGTACCAGAAGTATTAAAAGTGGAGTGTTTCCTAGTATGTTTTACATTGAAATAGTTGAATGTAACACATTACCATCTCCTAAAACTATTTAGAAGTTGACATTTTGAATAACATCACTGTGCAGCATTATGTGAAGGTTTTTACTTTAAAACCCCAATTCTTTCTTTATTGTGACTATGCAAAGTTATAAATTTGATCCAGGGAAACATCCATCTCTGCAGCAGCCTGAAGCAACAATTCTAAGAGAAAATTATGTTCACTAATGAAGATATTGGTGTCTGTCTTTTGATTCAACAGCACAGACAGTGTTAACTTGCAGCAGGCGTTACCTCATTTCAAAACCTCACTGGGACCACTAGTATACTATTTGAACTGGACCTGGCATTCACAGTATAACTCTGGTATTCCTGGTATAGGGTCTGTTTTAAATTATGCAAAAATTAATGATACCTAGTGTTGACAGAGTAAGCATCTTCATTCAATCTTTCAATTGTTTGATTTTCAGTACATGCCATACTTATGTTTTGCCATTATATTTTTGCTAGTGGCATGCATAAAATACTTCCAATTTAGTCCTTTCCCATGATCATAATGAAAAACTGATACCAGATAGCTGAATTCATACAAGCAGATATGAACAGCACAGTTTGTGCATTTAACTCACTCCACAGCTATCACTGGCTCAAGCTGCAATAAAATGACACCACATGTTTGCAGGTATGACAACAGCAAAGCTCTAACCTTTACCTTACCATCAACTTTGCTTGAAGTAGAATTGGTTCCCATTCACTTCAGCTGAAACAACTCATGTCTCTTCTCCACTACAACTGAGATAGGCTTTGACATCATGCTCCCCTGAGGCTGAAGCAGCATGACTGAAGCAACTCAGAAAAATCTGAAAATCTGCTGATGCGCATCATGGGAATAGAGTGAAAACTCCAGAATTATCAACTTGTGCAAGTGCTGTGCAAGTGTACCTGGAGCTTCTTAATTATACTGAGAGTGCATGAAGATTTTTGTAGTTGTTTCCAGCAATAATATATACATTTTAAGGCAAAAAGAAAAGGATATCATTTTCTCAAAGAATACTGAAGAAATCTGCCCAAACTTAACTTACTATCATATTAGTGAAACAATTATTAGAAAAAATTAACTGTTTGAAGCATTAAAAAAAAAAACAAAAGTCAATTCTTAATGCAAGGTCATACTGGTATTTCAGTTCAAGATTTTATTTTAGTTACTTTTCTAATTTCCTTAATCTTTCCCTATCTCACTTTCTGCATTTTTACTGTATTATTGCAATTTACCCATTAATATTTCAATTTATAATTGGCTTAACTAAAGCTCACTATGCTAACATCAAATGCTTCATAACTGCAGTACTTTGGCTGCATGAGGTAAGCTTACAAATTTGAGTATTTAAAAAAGAAAAAAGGAAAGCAAATAACACCTCTGTGTCCTTAATCCTAATCATGACTCTCCTAATGACTGCTCTCTACTGACTCAGTCTCTCCCTTGTTCTGATCCTAATGATCCTATTTCAGGCACAACAGAAGCATCTGGTACTTCTCTGCCGAACTAATCCCAAAGGATATTTCTTGGCTGGGCTATTTTGGAGTGCTTCCAAAAAAAAAAAAAAAATAAATAGTTCCACATTTTAGATTATGATGAATTAGGGGTTAAACCTGCTGCTTTTGTTTAGCAGTTTGCACCCTCCTTCCTTACAGTAAGATCAAGGCTTTTACAACTGCTTGTCTGTACTGCAATATTTCATGTTTTCACTTCTAAGAGTCCTTCAGCATCACAGATGTGGCATAGAGTTCTGTCACTAAGTAATTGACATACCTTATCCTGTCAGATTAATTTATGCCTAGTTCAGGCCTTCAAAGCTGAAGGGTTCTACAAGGCTATCAATAACTAAGTTATTTTTCCTACTCACCTGCAGTCTGGTACTGGTTCTCTCTCCTCCCACTACTATTTTGCATGAAAACTAATCACTCCTATACCCTCTTTTTTCCAGAGATTAATATCATAAATTTGCCTATCAACAGTTTTGTATGGTATGAAAAATACTTCTATAAACCCTTAAAACAATATACTAAATAACCCTTAAAAAGTCTTCCTTTCTCTGTTCAGCTGATCTCCATCTTCTGGCCACAAGTACACACTGCAGGTCTTCGTATCTTATAGACAGCCTAAATGAATAAAACTTCACACCAATACATAACTTAACTGTTTGCCATAGCACTTAGAAAGCAGTAAAATCAAAGAACACTTTCTTATTTTTGTTCATAAATGACATTTTATAAATACTGCAAAAATTTCTAAATTTTTTACCTGGTTTTCTTATGACTGTTCTTTTTGCTTGTTGTTTCCTTTTCACTTTTTTCCTTTTCTACTTTGTCTTTTTTCTCTTTCTTTGATTGTGTAGGGGGCACAAATTGCTGAGGAACCTGTTGTGCAACCAGCTGTGAGACAGGTCGAGGTTTCCTGTGTGCACATATACATAGACATGCATCATGCTTAGACTTTTCAAGTCTCAAACTGTCTACGCTTCAGTTATTAACATTAACCATCACTGTAAGAAGAAATATTGTTTAAACATATCTTGCTGCTAATACTTCATTAAGACAGCATATAAAATTTAAACCCATGATAGGCTTTTGTTTCACTTACTTGCATTATCAACAAATGAGATTCTCTTTTTTTATTTTACAGCATTTAGAGACCATATTTGTAATGAGGCCTCTTCTCGCAGTTGTCATATCCAGACAGAGAGCTCAGTGTGAGCTTCAAAAGACAATTCTTCCAGAAATTACATTACCACCCACTCCCAGCCCCTTCAAATGTTGGAATAGTCTGGTTTGAGTCTACTCCAATACAGAAGTAGACAATCCTTATCACAAAAAGGAAAAATCTGACCATTGAGGTATCAGAGCTAAAACTGTTGTTGGCCTTACAGAATAAAATTAAAGCGCTTTCAGGTCAAACAAATTTATTGGAGCAATAAAAAATTCTGTTATGTATAATTTTTATCATGTTGTTCACTGGAAAAAAATATATTGCTGATTAATACGTAGGATATAGCTGTCAGAACACATATACTTTGGAAGCTGGCAACAGAAACATAAGACCACATTCCATCAGTAACACAGTGCAGGTTTAATTTCCAAGTTTTGATCCAAACTAAAAACCAGTGTGAAAAGAGCAACAGCAGGCAAAAGAAATTCAACCATTTATTATTTTTTCATTTTCCGAAATATTAGTTTGAAGTGGATTAATTTTTTATTCTTTGTGTATTGGAATACAATGATCTTAGTTTGAAATGAAACATTTTACTCATTCCATTGCAAGTGTATTTACTTGTTCTGCAGTTTTGGAATTAAGAAATTTCAAGTCATGATATATAAAAAAGTTTCTGTTATTAACACTTTGAAGATATAAATTTATTCTCCAAAAGAATGCTTACCCTGCCAAGCTCTTGGGTTTTGTTAGTTGGATTGTGATGTTAGGTCTTTTAAAATAGAAAAAGCACAAATTATATGCACTGTGATACTCTGAAAATACAAAACTGTTATCAAAGCAACAGAAGCTATCAGCTCACACGCATACTTAGTTATCCCAACTCACAGGATCACACTACTGGCACTTCTTGCTTGGGTGAAGAGATGAGAAAAATAAGTGCAGGAAATCAAGGCAGCTCCCAATAACAAGTTATATTTTCAGTAATGATTGCAATAGTTCAAGTTACAGATGGAAAGCCAAATTACAAGAACTCAAAGTGTAGGAAAGAGTTAATATAAATCAGCTGAGATTTCATGAGTCTTCACAGTAAACTCTTAATGAATTAAAATAAATTAAAAGAAAGACTATTAATAAATTGTCAACACAACAGAATTTTGTGATAAAAACTAGACTATCCCTTACCCACTCATGAACTGAGCCTACGCTGACTCATGGAGGGAGGAAGAAAAGAACAAATCCTTTTAGTGAAAACCACCCAGCTTTTAGCACTAGAACCTTGCAAAGCACACACTGTAGTGAGCCCACAGTGAACAACTCAAATGGTCTCAACAGGCTATATATATGTGCAGGTTAATAGAGGACATAAGACATTTTTAAGAAAACTTGTCTCAGAATTTTTTCAACCTTTTGTCACAGTAGTTCATAACAGAGCAAGAACCACCAAGGTGTAATTGATGCACAAGCTTACAACTTCAGGTGGAAAACAGTTGTGATATATAAAGAAAACTGATGATCTGCCCTGAATTGAAGATTGCTCCAGGAAATAGGGATACAGTTTGTCATGACAGTCAAGTGACAATCCCATCGTTACTACACAATGACTTGAGAGAATGATTGGACATGTGACTTATGAACAAGACACTAGTGAACTTGACAATGAATTGTTTCCCAGGGGTGCAGAAAACACCATGATTATGAAAACTTGTTACAAAGGGGAAGAGAGGGGAATAAACAATCTTAGCCAAGCAAGATCTGAATTTATAGCCATTTCAGTTCCTGAGGGCAAACTAGATAATTTCTGTTAGAGTACAGATGGGAAATTAAGCTCACTTCTAAGTCCTACTCTTAGAACTTTTTTCCTACCATATAAAGAATGGGACTGAAAAAAAATCCTTGCATTAAGGAGCAGAAGTCAGAAAGACAAAAAAAAAAAACACAGAGAAATCATATTTTGGAAGATGCACTAAAAATTAATCAAGAGGTTCTATGTGGCTTTGCTGTGACGAGAGATTCCCTCCATTAAACAGCCATATGTTTTGCTGTCAATTTTTCTATAGCTATCAGTTACATCTCTGTTCTAAATTTTATCATCTGCTTTCTCACGTTCTGATTTATTAAATGAAGTATTCAAGGTTCCTATATTAAAAACATCGAGAAAAAAGTAATTAATCTCTCAACACTAGGAATGTCTTTCAAGTGCTCAATTTTTTTCCCCAGGTACTCAAAAGGGGCTAATGAACTGCAACCAAGCACTTCACAAGCCATCCAGGTGTCAGGAGATAACTCTACTACACTCATGAAACTTGAGCCTGATAGAATTGTTTCTGCTTAGTGGTAGCTGAATCATGTCATTCAAGCATGAATAAATTCATAGAGAAAAGGTTATTTCAGAGAAGATAAAAGAGAAACTATCCCTGTAACAGGAAATTGATTTTGATGATTTGCCAAAATACAACATTTCACATTACTCATTTTCAAAGCCAGTTAAAGACTCCTTGCAATACGCTGCTACAGATTAAGTAGATATGATGTTAACTTTTGTTTATATTTATGATAATTTGCTCTGTAAGAATATTCAAGAGCACCTGAGCTAACTGGTGTTTAGAAAGAAGCTCTATAATCTTCTGCATTAAGATTACAAGCATTTTTGCCTCTGTCACTGGACCATTATTGGACCACCACAACTGAACAATCCAGAACTACAAGCAGAAATGTTCATAAAAACAATACCTATTATTTAGCCAGACCCTAAAAGCTTTGTATTTTTGCCTAGTAATTCCACTTTAGTCATTCAAAGGGGAACACTAAGAAAGACATACACTACTACAGAAGATAAGCGCTAGCAATCCTTTCCAGAGGTGAACTTTATGGTTTAAGCACTGTAGCCATATCAAGAAACTGATTTACTGAGCTTCCATGAGATCTCCAAAACATCACATCTCTGAATATTGCACTCCCCTTCTCTACCTAGTTTTCCTTTTTACAGTTTAGACAGTGTTGTCTAAGTTGACATCAGTCATAGTTCTACCTACACTTCTATTCCAATCTCATCCATTACACTTTTTAAAATTATCTAATTCCACTGCTGTTTTCAAGGTCCTGCTTGACAGGCACTTCATAGTCTCCTTTAAAAAATTAGGAAACTAACATTTTTGGTCCTTTAACAGCCACAAGTCATTAAGACAAACATACAAGGATAAAGTTTTTGTCTTCCCTTAAATTCCCATAAATGCTCAAAAACAAGGATGTCATAATTTCAACTCTTAGTCTTCTTGTTGCAGGATTTAACTACATTTTATCCTACCAGGTTTAATCTAGCTGCTGATTTAGAAAGCATATTTAGAGGCTGCAGAAACTTGTCTTTGCTATAGCATTTGTGTGCAGAAACTCATTTGTTACTGACACTCTCAAAGGAAGAACATATTTAATACTGTGAAGGATGAATTGGTTTTCATTGCTCACATTCTTTAAAAAAATCTTTATAGCACAGAAATTTACATGCCTAGAGATGAAAAATACTCAATAAGACCACATGATATCTGGAACTGTTGCCCTGAGTCCTTTCCATGATGCAAAGCTCAACACAACACCTTCCTGCACATAAATAATTTTGAACATCTCACAGCAGTACATGCTTCCACGATTTCCCTCACCTAGTATTCACCAATAACCTATGTATTTTGACTAATTTGATACAATTAATAACTTGGTCTCATTACAGCAAAGCAGATCCATTTTGAGAAGCAAAACAAACAAAAAATATCTATCAATACTGATGACCAACAGAGACACCAGAAGTACAGTAAACTCTCAGTTGCCTGAGTTGTGCATGAAACATGCAGACAACCAAACTGGCTTAATGCTGAAACATCTTGGAGTTTAGCTGAATTTAATTTATACAGAGCACAGCTACATTTGCACAATTCCGCTTCTGCAGCCATTACAAGTCCACTCTTCTGCACTACTCAAGAGTATGAGCTCCAATTCTGACAGACATGAACTACTTACCTGTCAATCAGCTTTAGGGTTGATCTGCCACAGTCTGGAAACAAGGAGCATGATGGGGCCAACTGTGATAGTTTTTCCGTGAACCAACCCCAAATCTACCTACATCTCAAGGGAGTTTTGTGTTAGCACGAGGTACCCCTGCATGTAAAGCTGGGAGCTGATTTGTCCATTTGGTGCCACATATCCTGAATGGCCAGAGCCAGCCAAATAACACTGCCAAGTAGCACACAGTGCTGCCAAGCAAGTGAGACTGCTGAAAGCACAGAGACATCAACAGTCTAACAGAGCAGCCAACACATTCACTTTGATTTAGTGGGAGCCATCCTGGACTTGAAGTGGTCCACACAGAACCATATCCTGCCATTATCCACAGATGTCAGAACATAACCTATATTTTTCTATACAGAAATCTAGATGCTATAATTAAATCCAAGTGCTTTTTCCAGCCTGCTGAGGAAAGTGTATTGTCATCCATAATGTGCAGTTTAGAGGCTTCAGACATCCTGAAGAACAGGAAACTTACTCCAAAGCACACCCTTTCCTGAAGCTCTAGCTCCTGTTTTGTATATTTTACTGTGCAGAAATATTAAAATTACAATTTCCCAATTGAAACACAATAGGTCTATATTAAGGAAATGCTGTCACCTCAGCATTCAATGAAGCTGAAAGATGTGCTTCCACAGAAAACCTGGATCCAGAATATCCTTCCATTCTGCTTAAAATGGAACAAAACTCCC